CAATGTTAAGAGGGTGGTACATAGCCCTAATACCTACATCAAGAAGTTAGAAAGATCTCAAGTTGATAGCATAACATCATACCTCGAGGAACTAGAAAAACAAGACCAAACCAACCCCAAGGCTGGCAGAATAAAATAAATAACCAAAATCAGAGCAGAACTGAATGGAATTGAGACGTGAAAATCCATACAAAAGATCAACAAAATGATCTTAAGTCTTCTTAAAGACTATGATATCTAAAAGCAGCCTTGAAAAACATCAGGCATATAAACTTTAGAATTTGCCATGGTTGTTCATAGTAATAAGTGATTCATAAAGGAGAAATAGGAGAATATTTAAAATTAATTTGTATCATTCAGAAGCACTCAAGAAGTGAAGAAAATTAAAAATGCAATTTGAATCAAATCATATGGAAATCAAAAGTGGTTCAAAAGAATTTTAAAAAATGAAAAAAGAAAGAATGAGAGAGAACACCCTGCACCCCACAATGGAGCAGGCACCATAGCAGGGGCTGAAAACTCAGGCTCTGCATTTGAGGGGCTAACACACTTACTGCATTCCCAAGGATATTTGCATCATCCACATCTGGGCATTTGGTGGAAATCTCGCTAAATGGGAAATGAGGGATCGTGGTTCTCAATATGGCCTCAGGGAACTCAGTTTACTCACCTATATAATCAAGAGATTGAGCTAAATTATTGCTCTAGTGCTTTAACCTCTAAAATTTTCTGATTTGATGTGTACTCAGCAGGTGTTCGTAGCTTTATCGTGAGGTATAATCATGTTATTTCTTAAGAAATTTTATTAGAAGGGTAACAACAGGCATATCTGCCACAGCCCTCTGCAAAGGAAAGTACCATCAGGCCATTACACTTCTTCAAGTTGCTATGGCTTCGTTCTTGTGTGTGGAAGTCAAATAAAAATAAACTTGCTACTCTGGTGGAAATGATTTGGCCAGATGCAAGACACCTATGTGAATGTATGTGAGAACTACAGAGTGATAAGGAAGGAGCTTGGGGTGAAACACAACCAGTATGAATGACCCAACGGGAGCTCTTCATGCTGGTATGAACATGGATACACAGAAGAAAAAGGCTGACTGTGGTGGCTCAGACCTGTAATGCCAGCACTTTGGTAGGCTGAAGTGGGTGGGTCATTTGAGGTCAAGAGTTCGAGACCAGTCTGACAACATGGTAAAACCCCATCTCTACTAAAAAATACAAAAATTAGCTGTGCTGGTAGTGCACGCCTGTAATTCCTGCTACTCGGTAGCCTGATGCATGAGAATTGCTTGAACCTGGGAGGCGGTGGTTGTAATGAGCTGAGATGGTGCCACTGCACTCCAGCCTGGGTGACAGAGGGAGACTCCATCTCAAAAAAAGAAAAAAAGTGGGGCAGTAGAGTTGCGTTTGTATTCTATATGACTATGCGTCATTTTTTTTTTCTTTTTAATTTTTAAAAATTTTATTTTTGAGATGGAGTTTCACTTTTATTGCCCAGGATGGAGTGCAATGGTGCAATCTTGGCTCACCGTAACCTCCGCCCCCCGGGTTCAAGCGATTCTCCTGCCTCAGCCTCCCGAGTGGCTGGGATTATAGGCATGCATCACCATGCCCAGCTAATGACTATGAGTCATTCTTGAAGAGCTTCAGGATCTGCTGAACATGACAGTTTTAGAAGCGCTGAGATACAGAATGACTCTACAGTTGCTTGCCTTCCTGAGCTCCTCTTTACTACAGATATTTGTTCACAAACCCCCATCACCCAGAGAAATACAGGTGTGTCTCATCTTTTACAATTGTGAAAACCTCAGGGGCAGGCAGGAGGATGCCTCCATCTGAATGGGGCTTATACATGAAGACAGATGAGTAAGCAGCTAGTTCTACTAAAAGAATGGGTTAATCAGGAAGACCTTGCAGCATAATACAGTTTTAGCAAGTTGATGTGGCAAAACTGAATATTTTCTATTTGCTTTGGGACTAAGATAAATAAATTGGGAAACAGACTGTCCACAATCTTAATGTATGAGAGCCACTGTTTCTGAACTTCAATTATCTGCCAAAGAGAACTTTAATGGCAGACGCAAACACCATATTAATGGATCTATTAAAAGACAGAATTATATGTATAATGCATCTTCTAGAATAAACAGTTTTGGTTTCTTTAAAGTAGGTTGAAAACAAGATTCTCATAAAGCTATTTGATTTCATCCTCTGAAATGTTATGATTCTTTTCCTCCCAGTCAGCTACAGTTTTTATGGCAACACCTTTATCAAGGCATCTTAAGTTTTCAACCTCGTATTTATACTCACATTTGGTTTTATATAATATTTAATTTAATATGTACAGTCATTTACCATGTAATGATGTTTAGGTCAACAATGGACCACATATAGAATAGTGGTAATAAGATAATAGTGTATTTTTACTGTACTTTTTCTGTTTAGATACACAAATACTTACCATTGTGTTACAATTGCCTACAGTATTCAGTACAGTAACATGCTCTACAAGTATGTAGCCTAGGAGCAATAGTCTATATACTGTATAAATGGTAGATATGTATACGTATATACCACATTGCCTAGGTGTATAGTAGGGCAAAATCATCTAATGACAAAATCACCTAACAATGGATTTCTCAGAACATACCCTGGTTGTTGAGCGACCCAACTGCATTTATAACAACAACCACAGTGGCAAAAAAGGGTTAGGAATAAACAAAACTGACTATTGAGAAGCTTATAAAGTTCAACTAGTGAGTGCCTCGAAAGCACTTAACCTACTAGGTGTGAAATTACAACTATTCTAGGCATCAGGAAGTGGGTTTTATAAAAGGGCTGAAGACATGTGCTGGCAAGCCAGTTAAATAGATATTTTTAGGGAAGTTCCTACTGTATGCCAATTCTGTTGCCATCAGTATTGATACAAAAGAAGTATTAGGTGATCTTCATCTTCAATACCTAGAGAAAAGGTTATTTTTGAAAGACCAATTTGCCTCAAATTCACAAACTTATTATTTTATATCAATTTCATATTATTTTCATTTGTATATATGCATTTTTTGAAACTTCTGACAACTTGTTACCAAAAAAGGAAGTTTCTTTCAATCAAATTCCTATAAAGGTTTTACGACATCATTGTACCACATGTAATTAGTCAAATGTTTTCTTATTGTCATAGTTTCTCTTGTTGATTAAATGTTATCTGTTAATGCCTATTCTCTAGTATCAGTTATCACTTGAGTGCTAGAACGCCTCTTGGAGCTATGATCTTTAAAGTGACTCCTTCTTTTCAAATAACTTGGCATTTTCTCCCTCTAGTCTTAAATCTCTTTTCTGCAGTAGAAATGCTCCAGAGCTTTCAGTATTCCCCTCAGTGATATACTGTGTATACTGCCCCACTGAATGTGATCCTATATTATTCTCCAATATCCTTGGAAAACATTATTTCATTTATTTTGAGAAACCTCAGCTAGACTTCCCAATGATGCTTTTAATATTGACATGACTATTATCCAGCTCATCTTTTTGTTGCTCTCATGGTGTAGGTTGGGGTAGTTCTGTTAAACCTTTATATTTCAAATCTGATCTTTATCTTTACCCTTGGAATGGGTTTCTAGAATTACTCTGTGAAATTCATCTGTAGATATGAAAGCTGCTTTGCTTCACTGCAAAGTTGCTCTCAAAAGCTGACAAGAAAGACAATGCTAGTTCTTTAAGTTCTGGAGCTGTCAATACTCTAGGGATTGTTCTTTCATTGATTTGTATTTGTACTTGATTTTATGCTGTGATTATTTTTAAGCTACTTAGGATTGCTGCCAGTGAAACCAAACAATCAATAGTCAGCGTTTTTGTTGTATCTGTAAAATCATATGCAAATTCTAGAGATCCTCTGAACTCTGAGTAAGCGGTAAAGGTCAGGCTCTACATGACTAGCTTAGCAATGGATGTTTAGAAGTTTGGTATACTTGCAGTTTTTCAGGTGGTTAATTCCACAGTCCACTTAAAACCAATGCTGTTTTGTTATGAACAGTAAAACAAGCTACATTTTAAGTTGACTTTATATAGATATTTTAACATTTAAGAATGATATTATATATCGTAATGTTCACTTTTAAGAAATTAAAGATAAACATGAGTACTTGCATTAAGTATTCATTATCATTCTAGCTAAGATCAGTGTTATAGAAGGTAGTTATTTCTGTCAAATGCTTCTATAAGGTACATTTAGAGGGCCTACACTGACTCAAAGATTACATGTTCTAGATTGACTACCTCCTATCTCCGAATAACCTCTATTTTAAGTGGACTCTGTCAAGCAATTCCTCTTCTCCCTCAAGCTCTGGTAGGAGAGCCAGGCTAGAGTACCACTGGAATGAGAGAAGCCTGGTTTGTTTTCTTTCATTATAAAAAGCCCGGATCAAGGCATATTTTTCAGCTGCTTAGAGGATGCTTTATTCTGGCAGGTGGAGGCGGAGGGAAACTCTACATACACATAAGCATTTAGAGCACGACAAAGATGTCAACAGAATAAAGAGCCAAGTACAATTCTTCCCCTCACCCCGCAGTCCCCGCCCTGCCTGGAAGAGCGCGGAGAAGCGACTTAAAGGTACAGGCTGTCTACATTCCCGCTGGCTAAAAACGCTTGCAAATCAATCTTTTAACATGGTTTATTGTGTTTTCCTACATTCCTCAATAATCTGAGAGTGATGAGAAGACTAGACTATTACTGTAGCTTTATTACAGCCATCCATAGTCGTACAAAGGGATATTTAATTTTAACATCCACAAGGCACTCAGCACAGAGCACTTTCCTGCGTGGATTGCTGCTAACCACTTCCAAGAACACCTTCCTAACCAGGCCAAGGAAGGCAGCTCAGCTGAGCGCCTCCCGCCCCGCCCCAAGGGGAGGGGCCCAGATCGCCCCGCCCCTCGCCCTCTCCCTCGCCCCGCCCCGTCGCGTAACCCGGATACACACCCACGCTCCCCTTTCACCTCGCTGCCGTTGGCTAACGTGGAAGTCGGACCCGCCTGCCGGGGAAGGAACCTACACCTAGCTGCTCAGCGAGTCCGGCGCTCGCGGCTGCGACGGTGCTTTTCGCGGCGCCACTCGGCCTTTCCTGAGAGGAAGTGATGGGGCGCACGGGGTCCGGAGAGCGGGCGCCGGTGTAGCCCGCGCGGCGCCTGGCCCGGAGCGCGGCGGCTGGCGCGGGGAGGCCTGTGAGAGCCGCAGCCCAGAGCGCCCGGCCTCCCGCGCCATGGCCCCCATGGGCATCCGCCTTTCCCCGCTGGGGGTGGCCGTGTTTTGCCTGTTGGGGCTCGGCGTGCTCTACCACCTCTACTCGGGCTTCCTGGCCGGCCGCATTAGTCTCTTCGGCCTGGGCGGTGAGCCTGCGGGCGGCGCGGCGGGACCCCCGGCCGCGGCAGACGGGGGCGCAGTGGACTTGCGCGAGATGCTGGCTGTGTCGGTGCTGGCCGCAGTCCGCGGCGGCAACGAGGTGAGGCGCGTCCGCGAGAGCAACGTCCTCCACGAGAAGTCCAAGGGGAAGACGCGCGAGGGAGCCGACGACAAGATGACCAGCGGCGATGTGCTGTCCAACCGCAAGATGTTCTATCTGCTCAAGACCGCCTTCCCCAGCGTGCAGGTGGGAGCCCACGGGCGAAGCGCCCACTCGGGCTTGGGAGCGCGTCTCGGCGCGTCGACTCTGTTAACAATATGGGGTGTGGAACCTCTGGTTCCCATTTTGTAGATGTGGAAATTTAGACCCAGAATTTAACGTGCACAAGGTCATACAAACAGCAGAGGAGCTGGGTGAGGTTGCACGTAGACTGACTCACAGGGCCCGTGCCCTTTTGGGTCGTCCCGGGTTGGCTCTGCGCTGTGTGTACCTGGGATCAGGAGGCCTTGAAACGAAAAGGCTGAGAGAGTTAATTGCACCCGCGGCTTCGGGCCCTTCTGTAAAACGAAGAGTTGGCGAAAATCCCCATACCCTTTATCCTTCCTTGATTTCATCCCTAGAAAGGTCGAAACCGGAGTACACATTTTCTGGCTGACTTGCCAGTAGCCAGCAGAAAGATCATTGTTGCAGAGCTGTTAGTATGCGGGGCGTGTGTGTACGTGTGCGCGCGCGCGCGCGCGAGGGGGAGTATTCGCTGTGGTTTTATCAGAACTCTAAGTTTATAGTTTGCAGGCCCTTCAAGGAGATACTTAGAAATATACCAGCCGTTGATCCCACCTGACACTTGATTAAAAATCCATATTGACTCCAGAGAATAAGAATTGAGTAATATTTGCCTTTTCTTTGAGTAGATTTCTAGGAAGGGAGTTGACATTTTCTTAGGGAAATCCAGACGTTTTGGATTTCTTATTAATACTTTGTGAATTCATCATTTCGGTGGAGCTGCTGTTGAGTTGAATAAAGCTTTTTTAAAATTTGCAATTACAGAGGAAGAGCTCAACATTGTGTAGTAGCTCCTTGTTAATGTATGTCTTAACTCACCTGTGGTTTTGGCTACTGGGAGGAAAAACTGTCTTCACTGGAATTTTATTAGGTAAATAGTGATGTCCAAACCCAGGCTTCTTTGGAATGCGTCTGACCTTTTACTGCTGATCTTGAAAGAGTTAGGAGAATATTGTCGTTGTTTAGTTAGTATTTTGTGTAAGGCTTCTTCCAGTCCATTATAATACTTCTTTGGTTTTGTTTTTTATTCTCCTGTCTCCCTTTTCTTTCATTTTTTTCTTTTTTCCAGTGGAAAAGAACATTGGATTTTCTATCATGAGCTACTGGATGCCAGATGTAATTAACGTTGGAATTTATTTATTTTTTTTTTTTCAAATTTCTACTTAAACAAAACACAGAATATTTCCACTTTTTCTTTCTTCTACTCTGTTTTTTTAATCATAAATAATACTTATCTTTTTTTGCATCTAGATTTAAGATGTGTTTTTGAAATATCTTACTCCTTTCCCAAAACACATGCGTTTACTTCCTTAAGAATTTATAGAGGAAACAGGAGATTCAGAGAAGTTGATATTTAATAGTTATAACAGTACTAATAATAACCGTTTATTGAATGTATTCTAGGTGCCCAAATACTGGCTACACAGAACTTCATCTTATCCTTAGAGTAACTTTAAGAAGTAAATTTTATTTCTGCCTACTTTACAAATGGGAAATCTGAGGCTCATGACACTCCAGTTTATATGAACTACCCAACATTTTAGCTAGATCTTCAGGAGACTTCTTAAAACTTATAATTGTAGAAACTTAAAAGCAATAATAGTGAAATATAGCAAGCAGAGTTGAATTTTTTTTTAAGAAAAAACAAAAGTATCTTAAATATTGAAAACACATCTGTTTGTGGGTGCATTCTCACTTATTAGCAAACAATAAGAGAATGGCTGCCAAGGAGAGTGAGCTGCATTTTATTAAACACAAAAGCTAAGCTTTTGGAATTGCAGATGTTGAAGTCTCTGGCTTAATATAAAATAACTTTTTGTTTTCTTGTGACTATTTGAATGTCTGCATGTGCTTCTGTAGTATTCATGTTGGGTCATGACTGAAGGAATAGAGGAGGTTTGTGCTCATTTATACTGTCAAAGTAGGGATGGTGTCATGTTGAGCCATCTCCTTATGCCCCTGTGTTACAAGCTAGAGGCCAAATATTGTAGCCGTCTAAGTGGGGAATCAACCTAATAGAGTCTTTCTCCTTTTTTACCTTCCCCTCTCCTAATGCCCAGAAGTACAGCCTTAAATGCCTGGTTGATTTTGAAGCCTCATCCCAAATTTCTTGGTAAGAAACTTAAGTTATATCTCACTTAGTTGACTTCCTAGTGGAAAAAGATCATTGAGAAGCAACAAATACTTTTCTTTTATCCTAGTGCCCTGTGTAAATGTAAAAAGGTCTGTTGTCTCCCACTACTTTCCTGTGTAGAGTATGAAGTCTTAGCTTTCTTATCTAACGTTCACTCAGTAAAAGGATATACCAGGAGTTACTCTAGAGCTTTCAACTGGAGACAGTTTTGTCCCCTAATTGACATTTGGCAATGTTGAAAGACGTTTTTGATGTCACAGCCAGGGGTGGGATGCTATTGGCATCTAGAGGGTAGAGGGTAAACATTCTATAATACACCGGACAGCCCCCTATAACAAAGAATTGTCTGGTCAGTTTTATCAATTGGTTCCAAGGTTGAGGAATCATACTCCAGAGAAGTGAGTGTTGTCCTAACAAAACTCAAGTTTCACCTGGGATCCCTGGATTTCCTTTGTCTTCAGGTTTTCTTTAGGGTAGAGATCACAGCACAGAGACCCCTCCCGGTAGCCAGTCTCCTCTTGCTAAACACTTTGGCAATGCTTGATTTCATTGTGTCAAAGTAATAGTAACTGGAGCCATTTGTATGGCCCTGTCTCTATATCATTGCAGGTAACAGTGACAATGAAGGCTGGAGATACTTTTGTGGAGTGGGTTTGCAGCCACAGAACAGACAAACTTAGATGTATAATTTTGATTTAATGTACAGGGGACTGTCTGTTTGAGGGGCTCCTGTCCTCAACTTGATTTGTTCAAAGTTCTGACAATGACTTATTTGAAGGGAAAGCCTGGTGTACCCCAAGCTGGTAGCAGCAGCTTGGGTCAGTGCCTTCCTTGACCTATAAGGTGGAAGTTAAGCTTCTCTCTTTCAACAGACGTATGTCCCAGAAAAGTTTGAGAGACACTAATATAGTGCACAGAACATTTGCACTGACATCTTGTGCAGTCACCAGCCTAGGTGATACTGGCCAGTCCTTTAACTTCTTTGAGCCATAGTTTCCTCTTCTGTAAAATCAGAATAGTAATTGGTTTAGACATAAGCATTGAAAGCAGAGGAAAAGAAACTAGTTCAAAGGAACAGGTCCAAGAGAGATAGTAGGAGAGCAAATTCCTGTAATCTAATGAGTTTAAGTAAAATGCATTTGGGAGAATTATTGTGGAAGAGATTGGAAAGGTAGATAGGGGCTAGGTTATATTCCAAGCTCTAAGGAGTTTGGACCTAATCTATAGTTTACTGCTAGAATACTAAAAGAAGGCCATATTTAGCTGACTTTTCTTGAGGCCTGCAATAAGCCATATTTTGGGCTTTGGGCATTTGGAGGTAGATAGGAACTAGTTAGGAAACTGTTTGAACAGGGCATGGAGAGATGAGGACCAGGACTTAAGCAGTGGGATGGGGAAGTTATGCTCAGCTTGTTTTACTAGCTAACATTTGTTTAGCCCGTTGCAAGCCACAAAAATGGAATTAAACTTCTTAATGACATTATTTATTTATCTTCACAACAACAAAGAAGGTTAAGTTCTACAGCCTCTATTTTTCAAATAAAGGCTTGGAGAGGCTAAATAATTTGCCAAAGATTACACAGCTAGAAAATAATCTTAGATTCACTGAGATTCACTTAATGGTCAGAGAATCATCTCAGGTCTGTCTCATTCTCTATATAAGGCAGTATAGCAGATGTACCAGAAGTATACTCTTAACCTCAGTGTTACAAATGAATGGAGAGACTCAGAGTAGATACTTGGAGGATGGTTTGGAGGGGAGCAAAGTAAATACTGGGAGACCAGTTAGGAGGCTTTTTCAGGTGAGAGCTAATATGTTTTGAATTGGGAGTATGGTTTAGAGAAGATAGATGTAGAAGGACATGAAAGAATTTATAGGGGTATGTCAAAAATAACTCCTCTATTTATAGCTTTCATAATTGGGGGTTTTGTTGCTGGTGAAGGGGAGTGGTGGTTAAGTTGGCGGGCAGATTATGAATGCCACTTTAGACTTGCTGTGTTAGAGATGTCTTTGATATGTCCAGGAGGAGATGTCAAAGAGGCAGTTGAATGTGTGAGTCTGAAGCTCTGAAGAAATATCTGAACTGAAAATACAGATCTGCGAGTCATCGGTGTTGTGATGTTAATTGAAACTGGTTGTGGACAGAATTGATTAGGGAGAGAATGTTACATGAAGGGAATATCAGGGATTAGAACCAAGGATAATGAAGACTGAAAGCAATCATTTAATAAGAACAGTAGCACCCAACCTTTATTATACTTTGTGTTAAGCACTGTACTGAGTTTGTTTTACCTTTTCTGTTTCATTCTTCTTAAGAACCTTACGGGGATAGATCATTGTCCCTTTTTACCAACAAGGTTGTAGCTCAGAAAGGTTAGGTGACTAGTCTAAGTTATTCACATATCCAATAAATTGAGGAGTTGGCATTTGAACTCAGGCAACCTATGATTAAGAGGTGAAGAAATGGAGACCGTGAGTAAAGACAAACCTTTTGAGAAAGTGGGCTTTTAAGGAAGTTGGCTGGGATGTTAGGTGTGTTACGTTTCCTAAGAAAAGGTTCTGTGCTTTCTTTTTGGTATATTTGTTTTTAAGATATGGGACACTACAGCATGTTTAATTGTTTATAGAGATATATATGAGAGATAGTAGTTGATAATAAAAGATTTCTGTAAAGGTGTGAAGAGAATAGGACAGGCAGAGGGGTGTTTATTTATATGTCTAGAAAATAGTTTTGAATGCCTACTGTATTGGTCAGAAACAGAACCAATAGAGATTTATTAAAAGGAATTGGCTCATGTGATTATGGAGGCTGAGAAGTCCCATGATTTG